CTTTTCCAACATTAATGATTCTATGATTCGTTGTTGCCATCCTGAACACCACTGGTGTGCTGTTACCTTTTTGTTTTGACTGCAAGTCTTGGAAATGTGTCTGTGTTCTTTTGCAGTGTAAGTTTTAGATCTGGCTAGGTTGTATTGACTGTGAAATTGTACTGGGTCTGGCAGGGATGGAGTTCACTTTCTTCATAGCAGCCCATATGGTGCTAGGTTTTGGATTTGTGACCAAAACAGTGTTGTTGACACCTCACTGTTTTATATATCGCTCAACAGTGCTTACATAGCTTCAAGGCCTTCTCTGTTTCTCACTGTCCTCCCCCAAGGAGTAGTTTGGGCGTGCACAACAACCTGGGAGGGAACACAGCCTGGATATCTGACTCCAGCTGATCAGAGCGATTTTCTATGCCATATAACGTCATGCTCAGCAATAAAAATGGAGCAGGGGGAGCTTTTGTGTGGGAGGCATGGCTCAGAGACTGGGCGGGCATCGGTCTGCTCCTGGGAGGTGGTGAATGAGGTGCCTCACGTGTTTTTCTTTTTTATTTGGCTTACCTTTGCTTATTAAGCTATCTTTGTCTTGACCCACAATTGCTCTTGCTTTTGTTCTTCCTATGCTCTCCCCTGTCCCACTAGGGAGGGGAATTAGCAAGTGGCTCTGTGGTGTTTAACTGCTGGCTGGGGTCAGACCATCACAGAAATGTAGTTCCAAGCTTATTTAGGGAAGTACTTTTAAAAAACAAACAAGCAAAAACCCCAGCTCCAGTGTTGGCAAAAGTGTTGTATGTGTATGTATGCATATCTATCTATATCTATCTCTCTCTGTTTTTAACATACATTTCAGATTTTTGTGGGAACATAGATTTTGCTCGATGTTTACAGTTAATTGTTTTATTTTTTTCTTTGTTTTTAGCGATAATGAATATGTATTCTGAAGCAGTTTTCAGGACTTTATTAGCTAGTGAAGGTGATATAAAGGTGTATTACTTGACTGTTTTCAGAATGATTTTTATAGGTGTAATTGGTGTCCAAGTATAATGGGTATTTTCATAACGTGTGCGATTCCTAGTTAATTGTCACCCAAACATATTTGTTAAGTTAAAGTGGCCTCATGTTTACTTTTAATTAGTAGACCCCTCTCTTTCTACTAAAAAATTAAGCCTGAAAATCACCTTTTATATGACCCAAAACTGCTTTGGTTGTCTAAGCTGTATAATCTGCAGTTAGGGGCAGGATTACGGTCATCTATGGTTGTGTGGTTCCCGTGTATTCTAACGTTACCAAATAAAGTTTAAAAAAACAACACAGCAACAGCTTACCAATTCTAAATGCTGCAGTGCATCATTAAATGATGCTGGTTCCCTTGCTGCACTAGTCTTGAAAGGGGCTTTATATTTGTGAAAATAATCAGAGTAAATACCTATAGTACTATACTAGGCTGGTACTCAGGAGCACTACAAGAGCAAACAGGAGGTCTGTTTTGAAGATTCTTCTTTTATATGCTAGCTGTCCTATGTATAGACATGAAAAACAAATGCTTGGTGGGATTCTGAGTGCTGGAGAGCACAAAAATCTGTTTAATGCTGACTAGGCCAGGTCTGATGATATTCGTGTTTTCTAATACGGTAGTTTTGGAATCCAGCAGTCTATTTTACCATGTTTTTGTTTTAATTTAACTGTTCAGGGAAGAGTACAATGTCACTACAGCAGCTGGTTTTTTTATGTTCAGGAAAAATTTGAATTTATGTGGGAGCATTTTCATTGAAAAATGAGTGGGTCAGCAATAGAGTAACTACACAGATTGTCTGTGTTACAAAGACTTACTTGCATATAATCCTTTTTTTCCTTTTTTTTTTTTTAGCCAGGTTATGATGAGATCAACCCAGACTGGAGACTCTCTAGTGAAAAAAGAAAGAAAATAAAAGGTATGTGGTTCAGTTAGATCATTATTTTACACCACTCTGTAGTTAAAAGTATTTACACAAATATACAAAGATCTGAAATGGCTTAATTAAATCTCAATTAGAATAGTTGCCAAAATTGTATGTATGATTTGAATTTGTAGCATGAGTAAATGAGTGTCACAATGTTGTTATTTTGTTTTTTTTTTTTTTTTTGTTCCTTTAAAATCCTCTGTTAGGAATTCTTTTGTAGCCATAACCATAAATAAGAAGATACTTCAGTTAGTACAGGACTTCATTTATTGTTAAGTATGCAATTATGACTCTGTGGAATGCTGAATATTCAGCAGATGTCTCAGCTTGTATCAGAAGCCACTACATCATAATATCGTAGGTAACACATTATTAGAGTCCACAGTCTAAAAAACTGGACTTACCTTTTCTTTCTATGAATGTCTAATAAATATTGAAAGCTAATGTACTTTAAAGAGATTAGTTTAAAATTCTGAAACAAAAGGGCTTTGTTTCTTCCGACTGGTTTTGCCTCATGCCAGTCTCTCTATTCTTTTCCCAAAATTCAGGCCACCATGTGCAGCCATTTATCACCTGGTTATTGCATGGCTCTTCCAAGAGTGCGGAGATCAATAGCTGTTCCATGATCCATTCGTTACTGCTATATTATTAAAAAATCCCTGTTTCTTTGTACTGTTTTTCTTGGTGATTCTGTCTTTGGGTTAACGCATTTGACCTTCATAGGTACTGACTAAGCACTGAAGTGGCAGAAAAGTGATAAGCTGCTCTGTTTTTCAGTGCTGTTTGGGAAAAGGTGGTTTTCATCAGAGAGGTGGGAAACGACAGTGTAGCCAACCTATTGAGCTAGCTCTCTGGTGAACATTTTGTCTCAACATCCAGTTATCATATTGAAAGTAATGTTAGAAGTGACACAGCTTCCATCTTCAGTTGTGGTGACTTTTTTTTTTGTTTAATCTTCTTAAAAACCTCATCTTGTAGACTCTTTCAGAAGACTAGTTCATGGTTGTCACTCTTGTTCAAAAGCAGGGTAACCTTTTCTAATTTTCATCATCAGTATTATGTTTGTAGCCAGGGAGACTTGCTTAAGTATTGGGAAGTATTGAAGCAGATCTTTATCAAATACCTAAAATTTGTCATGTTTTGTGCAAATAAATCTGTTTACTATGAATTCTTTTACTAATATTAAAGAAAATTAAGTCCAAAATTAAGTGTTTTTCCCCTCCACAGCTGTATTTAATGCAGAACTGATTTAGTAAAATATAACTGATCTAAAATACAAACTTAGTGAACCGCGGATGCATATACAATAATAAAAGTTTGTGTCGTGGTTTAACCCTAGCCAGCAACTAAGCACCACGCAGTCGCACGCTCTCCCCCGCATCCCCCCACGCTCCCGCCGGTAGGATCGGGGAGAGAATCGGGAGGGCACAAGTAGGAAAACTCACGTGTTGAGATAAAAACAGTTTAATAATTGAAATAAAACAAAGTAGAACAGTAATAATAACAATGATAACAACAACAATAATAGAATATACAAAGCAGGCAATGCACGATGCAACTGCTCACCGCCCGCCGACCGATGCCGAGCCCATCTTGAGCCGCGAGAGCCCCCCCTTCCTGGACCGCACCTCATAATTATATACTGAGCGTGACATCACATGGTAGGGAATATCCCATTGGCCAGCTGGGTCAGCTGCCATGGCGGTGCTCCCCGTGCCCCAGCTTCCCATGCACCTGGCAGAGCATGGGAAGCCAAAAAAAGTCCCCGGCACAAGCGCCACCACTCGGTAACAACCAAAACATCAATGGGCCATCAATAGTTCCTCTCATACCAAATCCAAAACACAGCACCCCCCAAGCTACTTGGAAGAAAGTTAACTCTGTCCCAGCCGGAACCAGGACAGTTTGTTAAATTGGGCCATCAGATGAAATCTCTTAATAATTGAAGTCACTTCTGTTCTTATCTGGTGTTTAAAGTTATCTTTCTTTGTATGGTGCTTTCTTATTTATTTTAGATAAAGAATCCTATTATCCATTGATAGATGTAAATTGGTGGGCAGATAATTCTGTCATCCTGGCTCGCTGCTCTGGTGCATTGACTGTGTCATCAGTCAAAACGTTAAGAAACTTGCTGGGAAAGTCATGTGAATGGTTTGAGAGTTCTCCTCAGGTCACTTCAGCTCACGATGGAGGATTTCTAAGTCTGGAGGTGAGGAATGTGCACAGGCAGATATCTTTTTGGAATGCAGTAGAAACAGTTTGCTTTTCTATATGTAATCCTAAGGGTGTTATATGTGTGTGGTGTGGTTTAAAAAAATATAAATTATTATTACTAATAGGAAAAGTGATTCTGTTTCCTTATCTCTAGGTAACTATTGCAGGGAAATTCTGAACTTGCTGCAATTCACTGCCTTAATAAAAACTTAATTGTCAAATAACTTCTAGAGAGTAGATGCAAAACTCCTAGAAGGCTGAGTCTTAATAAGAGGAATCTTGCTGCAGGAAACAGTTTGTGTTGACAATTTTCAGTGCTTTATATGATAGTGCATTTGAAGAATACTGCAAGCATCCCTCTCCCATTTTAAAACATATGCCTCTTACAGAGGGAGTATATTTAAGAGAAATGAGGAATGCATTTAAATTAAGACTAAGCCATGTAAGAGATCTATTTTTGTTCATCTTTAGTAGGATTCCAGGAAGGAGTAAAATGTAATTCTGGTTAAGAAGTTAACCAGGAATTTTGTTTGAAACGAAGACGACTACTATTTCCTAAGGCTTACACTGAAATAGGTCTTAAATATCTTAAACAGAAGTTTAAAATAGTATTTATCAGAATATCCCAATACGTACCGAAGCTTGCATGTATGTTTTTGGAATGATTTGTATTATTCTGGAAATCAGATCTAGCTGGTGACTGGCATGCAGAATACCCTGCTTTGGATAGCTAAGAGTTGAAAACATTGCTGTACACTGCAGTAAGCTATGTAAAAGTGTACTAAGATGTCTCCATATTTCTGTGTTGTCCAGGGTGGTGTAGGACATTTAGTGTAATAGTGGGTTACTATTAAGAAGCCTTCAAGCTTGCTTCAGTAGGTAAGGGATGAAGCCTCAGATCTAGGAGACAGACCCAGTCAGGGTTTGTGGAATATATTAAGCAAGCAGAGAAATAAAGGGTTTAAAGGAGAAGGGGAGGAAGGATATCGATTCTGAAATTTGAAGTATTGGAAGTGGAGATGTACTCGATTCTTACCAAACTAATTGAGATGTAGTAGGTGCATGCTTCATATTCTACCCTTAAGAATTATTTTCTGTGCAGTGTGAGATAAAACTCGTTCCAAAAAGATTACGCTTGGAGGGCAGGCCTGGTGATGAAGATGAGGGAGAAGATGACTCTGACTCAGATGATGAAACTTCTGCTAAGGACAGATATTTCAGCTACCTAAAGCAAGGCCTGTACTTTGTGACAGAAATGGAACGATTTGCTCCTCCACGGAAACGTCCACGTACTATTACAAAGAATTTCCGCCTTGTCAGTTTGAGATCCACGACTCCAGAGGAACTATACCAGAGGAAAGTAAGTATAGAAGGAAAGGTCATATGTCTCATAATCAGCTTTATTTAGAAAGAGCTTTTTATTTTTCTTTTAATTCTTGCTATATTAACAGAAGGATTTAGGCACATATTTGTAAGGGTCTCTTAGTTTACTGTGTTACTTAATTGAAGGGATCATTGTTTAAAACGAGCATTATAGTAATTCGAATGAGATGACGTTTGCAGGTCACTGAGGAGACTCTGTGCATCATTAGCTTGGCCCGACTTGGAAGTGTACTCACATAAGCATTTACAAATAATGAAAGACCTGGCAAATATATTGAATGAAATCAGTTGAGCTTGTTGTTGGCCAGGAAATGGGTTAACTTAAACTGCATTCACATCAGAGTATGCTTGCATCTTTTTTCAGACATACATACAAATTAGCCCTGTGACTCACTTTTACTGAAGAACAGATACTTCTTCATTTTTACGACTGCTCTAGGCAGTACTTTGTCTAGGCCATTTCAATTGTTCTGATGGTAAACCAGCCCACTCTATAGCTGTTAGAGTTTCCAGGGAGTGCTGATGTCATGCTGGTTACCTAAATTACTTCTTCCTTTTTCTTGAGGAAAAATCTCTGATTTTCTAGAGGTGTCCATCAGGTCTGAGTCTTACACATCTGTATCTTGAGCCATGCTCTTTCCTACCTACTTAAGCACACCCACAGTAATTATTCCTCTACCTGTTTCAACACACAGAATTAATAATTGATTGTTTAATATGGAAATCAGATTACTTTCATTTTCATGTGTTTGCTTTTTAGATTGATAATGAGGAATATGGGGAAGCTTTGTCTTTGGCTCAAGCATATGGCCTTGATTCTGATCTTGTGTATCAAAGACAGTGGAGGAAGTCGGCTGTTAACGTCGCTTCAATTCAAGACTACTTGGTGGGTTTGTTTTTTGTGACTTTTAGGCTTTCTTATCAGAACGGCTGTGTTATCTTTACAGAAATTGAATTCTCAATTGTGTTCTAATTTATACGACATAAATTGGTGGCAGTTTGGAGAGCTGTCCTGCAAATTCCATTTCATGTCATGTGGAAGACAGTGATTTTGTTAATTTAACTGAAGGCCTGATCTGGAGGCCTTGGAAGTTAACGGAAATCTTTCCGTTCAAGTATCTTCTAACTTCTGTTAATAGCAGCTTGCTGTCTCTGGTGTAATCTCTTCCCCCACGTGCAGCAGTAGATTGTTGCCTGGCAAATGAATAATAATAATTGGAAACGCAAAACATTTAAATACCTTCCAAGTATTTTAGAAAATTAAATGGGAAGGTGAAGTTGGTATCAGTAGCTATATAGTAAAGTTTAAATAACAAAATTTACAGTGAACTCTGCTACCTGTAACTGGAGCTTTTCAGTAGAATCCAACATGGAGTGTTTTGGCTTGGAAGAAAGACTTCAAACTCAGCAGACAAGTGTTGTCAAAGATGCACAACCTGATGGTGCTATAGGATAAAGTCTTCCAAGAGATCAAGAGAAATATAATCTAATTTTTGTTTTTTTCAAGTCGGATATTAATTGAATGTCAAAATAAGATTTTTACAAGTAGCCATTCTCCATGTGCTATGTAATCTCAACTGAAGATCAGCAGATAAGGCAATAATATTTTGTGACCCTGATGTGTCCTTCCCGTCACAGAATCCTACTGGCGTGTGAAGAGGTCAATACTGAAAATTACTCTAGTGCTATTGTGGGATACACTCAGTTTATAACAACTGCATTTTAGCCCCAAAACATCACATTTTATTTAGTGTAAGGAGGAGTGCTACTAATTAGGGAATACAAGTAGTAACTTTTGTTCCAGTTATTGTGAAAATTCTGCTAAATCATTTGGCATTTCTGTGCCCTTTTCTGCCACATATACTCCAAGGGAATTATGTTTTTTGCATTCTCACTTCTTTTTTTATTGGTTCACATTGTCAGTCATCGGGTTAAGTTGACATTTTCCTAAGTGGAAAAAACACATTAGAAGATTTTAACATCTCCAGTTTCATTGCTTTGAATTGAAGCATAGAACATTGTGTGTATGCTTTTGTTCTTGGACAGAGCAAAATTAAGAAGCGTGCCTGGGTTCTTCACGAGTGCTTGGAAAGAGTTCCAGAGAATGTGGATGCTGCTAAGAAGCTGCTTCAGTATGGCTTGAAAGGCACAGACTTGGAGGCTCTTGTGGCCATAGGAAAAGGAGAAGATGGCGGCAGGTTTGGGAAGAGTATTTTTTGTTTGTTTGTTTTCTTTTTAAAGAAAGGTGTATGAAGTCTTTTCTAATAATTTGGTAAAATTTTTTTATCAACCACTAATGAAAATGTTAAGATGCTTTTGCAGGACATAAAGAAAGGTGATGCTTTGAATCAAACTATTCTAAAGGTGTCCACAAGTACCTATTCTCATTTTACCTTTTACAAAGGTCTGTACTGCATTTTCCCTCTTCTCTGGATGCCCTTTATTTTCTTCATCATGGAGAACTTCTGATGTCACTATTTTTCTATGAGTATCTGTTTTTGTTGCGTCTTCTGGAAGCTGCAACTACACCTATAAATGCATTTTGTTGTATGTCTTAATTGTTGTGTTCATCTTCTGTTGTTCAAGTGGAGAGGGGAACAAAGCAAAACACAGTGGGTCAGTGAGGAAATCCATGCTGAGACAATTCTCTTCAGTATTCAGTTCCTGGTGGTAGAAATAGAAGAGGCTGTTCTTTCTTCGTGCAGTCATCTGTTACCATTGTATGCTGTAGAGCTGCTGCCAATCCCAGTGCTACCTGTGGGATTTAGAAACTTTTATCAACCATCATAGCTGTGGTTGGTGGTTTGTTTTTTTTATTTGTTTTAGGGAAGGGGTGGAAACAAGAGATGATGCGTCTTGTTGGCTTGTGATGAGTGCCTGCTGCTTTACAACAGCAAAACTCAGTATTATAATTTTCTATAAAAGTTTAGATTTTTAGTCAAGACATAAAAAGAAAGCTGTTAGTATGTTTATTCAAAAATAAGGTTGTCATATATTTTTGTTGTTTTTGTTTTGTGGTGTTTTTTTTGTTTTGTTTTGGTTTTTTTAAATCAACATCGATTACATTGTTGGTTTTGTCTTCCAGATTTATCTTACCGGGCGAGGTGGACATTGAAATTCCCTATGAAGACTTTTTGTCACCAGATGAAGAAATGGATACTAGAAAGGAAAAAGAGGCCAAGAAGCATGAAGAACTGCTATTATCAGTAAACTTTTCAAAGTAAATGAAATGTTAGGCCATGTTTTATTCAGAGTTATAGGTTTATTATAACTACACAGTTTATTATAATTACAGAGTAATTACTCTCGTGTGTGTTATTCCTAATAGGAAAGTGGTTTAAATTTTAATTGGCATTATATTGTGTCAGAGTTCTTGGTTTACTTAATTTCTTGATATATTTCAGTGCACAAAGTCATTAAAATGTGTAACCGTTGTCTTCATATGCACATAATGTACAATATCAATCGCAAGCATGAAAATTCCTGTTTTGAACACAGGCTGACACTGGAACAAAAAGAACTCTGCCGTAGCAGGCTGAAGCTGTTAACTTATCTTGATCGCCTTGAAACCTATGAGGTGAGGACACTTGGTAACTGGCTACTGTTCTTCTGAGTTCTCATTCCATAGGTATTCCTGTAACTTTTTCGTCACATCATCATATCTTTTTTGTTATGTATTGTGGTATTAATGTTTATAGTCTTCTTGAAATGCTACAGTCTCTCACTTGAGAAAAGCAAGCTGTTTTCTGTTCAAGCTACCATGTTTCTCCTGCTTCACTGTTGCAACTGGCCGGCTGCTAGTGTTGAGAGGTACAGTTGGGCAGAAGCCTGCTTTGAACATACTGTGTCTGCAGGGAATTAAGTTATGCAATATGGGATGTGGAGTTGATGCAGGATTACTATTATTTCCCTCTGTCAGTCTAATTAGCAAGTTCCATTCAGATTCTCTAACGAATCTTTCTCTTCTGTGAGCTTACCAAAGTGAAACTTTTTGGAATGTCAAACTGTATTTTGCTTGTTTTTTTAACTTTAACTTTGCAGTTGGCACTAGTCGCGTAATGACTCTTACCACATCTCTTTGTAACTAATGTTGTCTAAACGCTAATTAAAATAAGGCAGGGAATTGTCTTAGCTTATCAGTGAAAAATGCATCTGTTTTTTTTTCATACTGAAACAACTAAAAAACAATAGCATGCTTTTCCACATATATCTCATACTTACTCATCCTAAGATAAAGAAATGTATTGGCTTTTTGATGCTTTTGTAAATCTTGCGTAAAAACCAATCTTTTGTAAGTGTGGGGTTTGTTTTTATTTTTTAAGGAAATCCTTGGAGGGCCTCATGCAGCTGAACAGCACTATGATGGCGAATTCTTCAAGAAGTTCAGAAATCAGAATATTGTACTTTCAGCAAGAACTTATGCTCGGGTATTAATATTTATTTTACTGGAATATGATTTTGTTTTGGTATTGCTGTTTTCACTTAAGTGCATTTTTTCCCCTCCCTTTGAACTTAGCTGAATGTCAGTGGGAATTTAAGAGGTGGGGTGTGAATTTGTTTGATTGTAAATAAATAAATGCAGTGACCCTGAGCTAATTTTCTTTATTGCTAAAGAAAATTTTAAAATTACATGTTTGTTGCATGACCTAAGCTTACATTTCTTGCTCATTTTCAGTCTAAATCAGTCTTAAGCTAATTCTGCAACTTAATGTTTTGCTCTTTAGGAAAGCAATGTCAGAGCCCTGGAAATTTTGTTCACTTTCCATGGATCAGCTTTACTTCCACACAGACAGGCAATTCTCTCCAATTTTCCAGAGACTACTTCACCACATGAATATGCTTTCTTGTTGCCTGAAGCTTGGTAAGGATGCATCAATGGATATTAACTAAAAAAAAAAAGAAGATTTTTAGGTTAATACTTAAATTAGTTTCCATATATGGCAATTTGCTGTTGGTTATTACCTGGAATCAAGAGAGCAGCTTTGTCTTTATGTACTTGACCAGTCTTCATTTTCTGCTTTACTTTGTGCCATTCATAGAAGCTCTTTTGGTTATTATCAGTAAAGTAGGGACTTTAAATGTTCTTATCTCCGTTACACATAAGGGGAAGCATGGCCTTTTGTGACCTGAAACTGCCCAGATTTTCACAGGTATAAGTCTGTAATTGGTTTGTAATAACAGCCAGCGTTAGGAAATTAATAACACGGGAGTTCAGCTCCCTAGAAGCAATTATGCTTTTCTGGATTTGTTTTGAAATGTAATTTAACACTTAAGCAGTCAGTAACGTCAAAATCATTAATCTTCTTGTTACTGATCTTACGCAGCTTGCTAAGGTAGAATTATGAAAAGTTTTAAGTCCAGACTTTCCTACTTTTTCATTTCAGTATAAAATGTTAGTTTACTGCCAATTTCATATGCATTTTCATGAGAAAGTCTTCCTTGAACATCATAATAATGTTCTGTGTATTAATTAAAATAAGTTTTTGCTTCTGGAGTGTTTCTTTCAAACATTTCAATTATGAAATTAGTTTTGAAGCAGTGCCCATAAAGAATTGGGGAGATTTCATTATTTAATATTTAACAATAAGACTTTGAAGTCTTACTTCAGAGGGATAGTTTTTGGAGTAGCTAATAGAATTTTTTTTTTAGTCTTCCAGCATTATAGTTAAGTTTTTCACTTTAAAGTTTTAACAGTCCCATTTGGATAATTCTCCATGTAGAAGAGGTTTTTTTAATTCATCAAGTTATTCCCCTGACATTTTTCCTAGCCTATGATACTTACCATTTTTGTCCTTTCTGAGCAGAAGTTAGTCTTTATTTCATGGTATCTAATACTTACCAGTGCCCTTTTTATTGTGTTGGTAGTATTAGGAACACATTTAGTTATTTTAGTTATGATGTGAAAACGCTTGTTTTAACCTTTTCTTTAAGGTAGCCGTTAGGACCATAAAGAGAAATTATTGCAGTGTTTATAAAATTCGTAAAATATATTCAAATTTTTCTCTTTTGTTTTGATAAGATCTATAATGTGAGAGGGATGGAAGAAGGGTCTTCATAAATGTGTTTATGATACTTTGTTGGTGTTCATAAACAGGTTCCCCTTCTTTCTGAAGGGTTGTTTGTTCTTGCTTTTGTTTTTTTTTATTTTGCTGTTGTGATTGGTTGGTTAAGAAACTGACTTATGTGCCAAGAGGCAAAATGACAGTTAAAATAAAACATTTCACCAGTGGTCTAGTAGTAAAGATGTGAAGTTATGGGTTAAGAACTTAGCTTTGTCTGCTGTTGAAAAATGGAAGTATGTAGTTTGAATCTTTATTCCTGTGGCAGACAGAACTTTCCGGTGCTAGGATCAGGTATGTGCAGGTTCACACTTCTTTTTCAGGTTGCAGAACAGATAATACTGTACGTCTTTGAAATGCTTGTCTTTGGGCAACTACAAAATGGGGACGAGAGCAAATCCTATATAGACAAATCCCATATACTTATAAAAATATACTGTATATTTGATCTAACCTTTTTCTAAAACTGTTTCCCTGTTGCAAAACTGATTACTCACATAGCATTGCTAAATACACTCCCTAAAACTATTTAATTAATGTAATAGAATTAAATGTGTATTGATGAAATTATCTATTAATGAGAATAATATACTAATGGAATAGACTTAAGTTGTACAAAGTAACATTTTCCTATTAATTTAAAAAGTTTTTTTCTTTGGAATGGGATGAGTCTCACCTCCCCGAGTCCAAATAGCTTCAGTTTCTGGCAATTCTTGTTTCATGTGAATTAAAATGAATCTATGTGAATCAAAGAGAATTGAAGTTCTTGTTCATTTTAAGTGAGTTTATTGGGCCTTTTAGTTCTAGCATTTATTTTTGAAATGGGTTATTAGTATGAATAGAATTACTGGCATTCTGTAGATAGATAGATTGTTGTTATGAAATCCAGTTTAAATGAATGTGCTATCTAGTTTACTTCTCTATAGAACACAGTATGTAGACATAACTTGCCTTAAATTAAATGATTAAACAAGGTTATGATACAACTTATGGAACTGTTTCATTCCCACATAATATTAAAAAGTTGCAAGTACTGACTGTAATTAATAAATTTCTGAACAAAAGGAAAACATTACAAAAATATAAACCCCAATGTTTTAATTGGTAGAAAAAATGTCTGTAGCAGTATGACTTAGTGTCTCTTCAGCTTATGCAGCTTGTAATTACAGTGGTTTTGGGATAAGGGGTGAGAATGATTCCATCTGTCCTCATGAACTTTGACTCTAGAAAATCTTATAAAGGATTCTGAGCCAGGAAACAACTTCGTCTGGTTTTTCTTTTTAAATTACATGCTGTTGCAGTTATGAAATAGGGTGTATGCTGGATATCAGAAGGATTTTCTACTTTCAGCTGCAAAAAAGACAGCGCTCTCGTGATTTCTTTTAGCTCATTGTTTTTCTGAAAATTCAAGGACATAATTGTCTGTACCGAAAGATTCCAACAGGGTAATTGTGGTGCATGTGATGAGACCACTAACATGGACCAGCTGCATGATAGCGCCCATGTTAAGGGTGCAGCCTGCCCCGATGGCCTTGCTTAAAGAAGGCCTTGTTCATGCCTTGCTGATGCTTTCGCTGCTCGGCCTCCTGCAGCTCGGACCTCTTGCTGAGCAGTGTGCAGCTCTGGAGGCAGAAAAGATTTTGGTGGAGGAGAAAAGTACTATAGTTTGTCTTCTAGGTCTTCATGTATGGCCCTGTGTGTGTGTGTAGGGTGAACTACTGCTGGGAATTGTCCGTATCGTGTCTGTGTATATGGAGCACTTTAAATGGTAAGAGGGTTGGTTCCCAGCTGGAGCTCTCTGAGGTGACACTTATCCTTATGGAAATTCACCACATTGCTCTGTGTTCTGTTAGTTCCTCCATCTATAGAGGAATCTGGCTGAGGAAAAACTTGAGATTGTATAGCAGGTGCTGCCTTGTTTGTGCATGGAACGGGTGAGGTGAGACAAAAAGGCACCTCTAGCTATTGCCAAGGCAAAAGCGTTGAAACTGCTTGCTGTACACCACCACCAATGTGAATGCACATAGAAGTGCTATATCTGAAGAATTTCATTACCTATGAGAAATGTTTTTGTAAAGGTTGTGATATAACTGCCATTTCCTTTTGTGTGGAACCTCCAGTTCAGATGCAGATAGCAAATTTTAAGTACCTGGTGAAAGAAATGCTTGTTTTGCTGGTGCATTCTGTAGGCATAAAGCAGTTGTTTTTCTTGTTACTGGCACATGTAATTTACATTAGGATGGCATTTAGAGGCTGGTGTCACAAAAATTTTAAGGTCTTATCAGTCAAGGAAGAGTTGGCATAACAAATAGGGGAAAAAAAGGTAGAAGAATTTCTTTTTTTCCTGTCTTTTGGGCCAGGTTGTTACAAAATAGATACGTATTTTTTCCTGTAACTGCTTGTAAAAAGTCTCAAGTGGTAGATGTCCTTTTGTTTCTTGTTTTTTGGCACACGTCTTGTAGCTTAGGATCTTTAGGGGTCGCTCTCAGAACTGTTCGGGAGGAGGTTTATAATGTCTGAGCAGAGGATTTATGTATTCATGAGACTCTTGAAAAGACTTGCGAGTTATATAAGCTCAACAGCTCCCGGAGTTGAGAAGGAATTTGAAATACTAAGATGCATCGGTGGCTCTACATGCCTGTCAGCTTCAAATTGGTATTGTGATAGACTGACATTACTCAGTAATGTGGTTTCTCAGAATTGTGATTGTAATGTTTTCCTACTTCTTTTCGTATTATTTTTTAGCTTCTTTTATAATGATGGCTCCTGAATCTCTGCTGTCTCTTAGTCATTGGGATTCATGTTCCTTCTCAAAGATCCATCAGACTTCATCTGTTAAGACAACTAGAGTGAAGGTGGTAAAAGTTTAGGTATTCAAAGGAGAGGATAGCTCTTTCTAATCTCTATTTTAATAGCTACAGTTAGCGTTCTCAGTCTATAGTTAAGAGTGTTGCCCTCAGGTTTTTGAAGGTGATCTCAGAGGAGAATAATGCCTTACCACCATTATAAATACATAACCAGAGTCTTTTTCCTTTTCTTTTAATTTTCTTATCCTTTTTACTACATTTAACTGCTATATTGCAACATTACCGCTCACATTTTAAACTCACGGAAGTTGGGAAATTCAAATGTATGGTTCCCTCAACAGCCATAAGTCTGCTATATTGCACATTACACTAGTAGTAAAAACCTTCCCCCTAAGATACCAACTTTTTATATGTTCCTGCTTTTTTACTCCTTAACTTTCTCAAATATTGTTTTTCAGTCATGGCTTAAAGTGAATTTTTACTGGAGAGTTGTGGATGAACTCCATTTGCCTGATTAAGTGGGGTGGGAGTGGAAATATCTTCTAAAAACTTAGTGAAGCTTTTAAAACCTGAAAATTTCCACATAGTAGGCTCTCATCTATGAATAGATAAATACTACACAATTAAACTAAGAGGTTCATAAGCAATTAACTTTGCCTTTTCATGATGATATCTTCTCCTGAACTAGGTTTTTAGTTATTGCCTGTGGCACTGCAGTTTCAATAAAGCTCTGAAAGCTTCATCTCTTCTCCTCTTAGTATATGTATGTAAATACGTTTGGTGACTGAACGTCTGCAGAACTGCCTAATATATAGTCCTCATTTTTTTTCGTATTAGTTTTTCTTCTTTTCTTTTGAAGCTGAACTGCTTTTGGTTTTAGTGTAGTTCAGAAGTGTTCATGTTAAAAGAATTAATCCCGTGGTTAGTTCTTTTTGTTTGTTTGAATTCATTAGTATAGTGCTACAGTGAAAGAAGTAAGGGCATAAGCTTTATAT